CTGCTGGCACTGGTGGATCATAACTATAATGTTACATTACTGATATTGGGAATTACGACAGCAGTTCAGATGTCAAGTATTTGCCAAGTACTTTGAAAAGCGATTGACAAAAATGTATTAAAATAACCTATCAGATTTGTTATATTAGAAGATGAAGCATTTTCTCTAAAGCCATATTTAATGATACCATATCCCCGACGAAACCGATTAACTATTGCCCAGAAAGTATTCAATTATAGACATTGTAGGGGAACACGTGTAGTAGAAAATGCGTTTGGAATCATGTCAGCCCGTTTTCGTGTATTCAGATCTCCAGTATCACTTGCTCTTTACACAGTAGTAAAAGTAATAAAAGCTGCATGTCTGTTACATAACTGGCTACGAAAAGTAAGAAATGATGCAGCAGTTACAGCAGATATTAAGGATAATGAAACAAGGTGAATCATTCATGGAAATTGGCGAAGTGTTTACTCAAATAGTCTAGCTAATTTAAATGCAACTTTGCAGCATACTTATTTGCATGAAGCTCGGCAAAGAAGGGAAGACTTTACTACTAAGAAGAGAATTGAGATTCCCCAACAATATTTAATGGCAAATAGAAGAGAATTTTACTCCACTTATTACACAATATTTCTTTATCTATGAATAAATTACGACACTTTAATAAAATTCAACTTATTAGCAAGCTTTCCATCGTTACGATATAAGGTAGGTGTAATAGCTGTAAACAAAAACCCAAAAGTTATTTTTAAAACTTGTGTTGTAACAAAGTTAAAAAACCGTAGAAAAATAATCAATTATGTACATTTATACAAAAATTAGTTCAAAAACTACAACTCCCAAAACAACGAACAAAATTAAAGTAAATAAACTACCTTCATGCGAAATATTTTGGCAAGGATCAAAATAATTCATTTATGATGTCAACCACTTCTGTAGAATCTTTTTGATGGCATGTTTAAATTTTATCATCGATCTTATTCTCAACAGGTGGCGAGTTTTATTTTAGAGTTTTTATAGCGAATACTATTTTCCTGTATTTCCAAAGTCATGATGAAGCCTCTGCATTTTATTTTAAGGAGTCACTTTTTTTCGCAACAAATAGTATTTGTCGTGAAAAAAGTAAAACGTAAAAAGTGGAATATCTACTCGTACAAATATTTTTATTTGCCCAATTTATTTATAATCTATTTATAGTAAGTAAAAGAATAATAAGTGAATATAGTGTTGATAGATACGAAATTAAATAGAGAGGAATTGGGAGAAAGAAATATTCGTGGCTCCGAAAACTTAGTCAATGGAATTGCTTAGGAATTTTGGCAAAAAAAACCAGAGAAATCGTTAATTATTTATTTAGAATGAAAATCAGTAAAACAATTGCGTTGATGGACAATTCCTAAATAGGGTACGGGTTAAGATAGACAAAATGGCCGTATTCCCAGAATTTATTCGTTTTTGTTTTTCCATATTCTATGTGATTAAAAAATAAGACTCAGCTCAATCTTAAACCCGCCACCCCCATCCTCTACTCTTAAAAATGTAATTTTTTTTCGGTATGTTTCAATCAATTTAAAAATTTCGAAAAATTCTTACGCATGATTAAGGCTTTTATAAAAAACCTTACAGGGAAGCAAAGACTGCTAGTGTATAGTGGTAATTAAATTAGATGACAACCATGGTTATATTTATTAAAGTAATGACACGAGGTCGATGTAATAAGATATTACCTAAAGGAAACATACTTTTTCCCAGCTTGAAACGGGAACTAGTTTGCCCACCGAGTAGTTCAAGCCAACCAAGTTGTTCTAATTTGAAGTACAGTTCACCAAAAATAGCTGAAAGTCTGAAAATAACCACGCTCGTGATGCGCATTCGTCATCCGACGGCTCTCGCACTGATAGTCCACTTAACATCTACCGTTTGTGACGTGAAGAAGTCGATACTGTCTGCGAAACATTTTTTGTAAGTACGAACCGCAAAGGAAAGTCCAATTTCCAAATTTGTCGATCTATTCGTAACGGAACATCACAAGAAATATGGGAGACTGTTAAACATTGCGTAACAACACCAGTGGATCGCTAAAAGAAAAATAATCCGGTGAAACGGAAACACTGGATAACAGATGAAACTCTTAAAATAATTGAGAATAGAAGAAATCTTTGTAAAAGTGGTGTACATAGTGAAAGGGAAAAAGCTAGTTTGAGAAACCTCAATAAAGAAATAAAACGAAGATGTAAGGCCGACAAAAAACAGTACTATCAAAGTATATGCAAAGAAATTGAGAGACATGGTCAGAATAATCAGCCGAGAGATCTATTTAGAAAAATACGCTACCTGACAAGGGACTTCAGAGCCAGAACTTGGGCCATTGAAGATAACACTGTAACCCTGAGAACAAACAGAGAAGACATAGCAGAGACATGGAGATCGAATTGCAGGGACCTATATAAAGATGATCAACGCCAAGAGCTTGTTAGCCAAATCTCTGACGAGGTGGAAGAAGAACCTGATATACTCGAAAATGAAGTAAGACAGGCTATCAACAAGCTCAAATATAACAAAGCACCAGGTCCAGATATGATAACAGCAGAAATGCTTAAAGCCACAGAAGAAACCGGCGTAAAGTTACTTCATCTACTCTGTAACCAAATATGGCATTCCAAACAATGGCCTGAAGACTGGACAAAATCTTCCATAACGACCATACATAAAAAAGGCAGCTTCCATAAATGCGACAATTATAGAACTATCTCTCTTATATCCCATGCCAGCAAGATAATGCTACATGTAATCAATGAGAGACTGAAAACATTCCTTCAAAGAGAAATTCCACAAGAGCAAACTGGATTTACCAAAGGTAGAGGCACTCGAGAACACCTGCTGAATATAAGACAGATAATCGAGAAATCTAGGGAATTCAACATCCCACTATACATCTGTTTTATAGATTACCGTAAAGCGTTCGACAGGGTCAAGTTTATGGCGAATACTAAAAGAAGTAGGCGTACCACAACATCTAATTACGCTTATAACCGAACTATATGAACACACTACTGGATCAGTTAAAGTACTTGACACACTTTCGAACGAGTCTCATCCAGAACGGGGTGTCAGACAAGGATGTATACTATCTCCACAATTATTCAACATATATGGGGAGTATATTATGCGAAGAGCACTTGAAGGATGGGAAAAGAGCATCTCAATAAATGTTCATAAACTAAACAACCTACGTTTCGCAGATGACACAGCCCTTCTTGCAAATAGTCAAGCAGAGCTGATAGAACTTATACGACTGATCGAAAACGAAAGTCAAATATGTGGTCTGCAATTAAACATATCAAAGACAAAGATCATGATAGTGGATAGACTACACAACAATCATCCACACAAACCACAATTGACCGGTTCGAGGTTGTGAGCTCATACTTATATCTGGGATCATTAATCACAAACACAGGGTCATTACAAGAAGAGATCTGATCTGATCTGAACGTAGATCTGATCTAGCAAAAGCCACAGCAAAAATGACCAAAATATGGAAGGACTGTCAAATTTCAAGAGCGATAAAGATGAGGTTGGTCAACTGCTTAATATTCCCAATACTGACCTACGGATGTGAATCTTGGACCCTGAGACAATCGGAGAGAAGAAAGATAGAAGCCACTGAAATGTTCTGTTGGAGACGAATGTTACGAATTCCTTGGACCGACCGCAGAACAAATAATTCAATTTTAAGAGAGCTAAAAGTTAGCCAACGACTTTCTAGTAAAGTCCATCTCCAACAATTAAAATATTTTGGGCATGTTATGAGAGCAAACACAGAAAACACGGAAATACTCATAATACAAGGAAAGGTAGAAGGCCTTTTATCACGAGGAAGATCCCCAACAAGATGGATAGATCAAATTACAGGAATATGCCAAAGACCTATGCATGAATTAAAAGAAATGACCAGAGACAGAGATCTCTGGAGACGGACAATACACGACATCACGTCGACCACTACACTCAACCTGGGGGGGGTCAGGATTGAAGAGAGAGAAATTGAATCTGAAGGGAAAAGTTTAAAATAATCAGACACGGGAAGTGATAGCTAATGTGATTCATTTTATAAGGAAGGAAGCCAATGACATAATGTTATATAATATAATATTGTTATAGGGAGGGAAGCGAAAACATAAGAAGAGCATGCAATATAGATGAAGAAGAAGATATAAATAGAAGACATAAATGGATCGGTGACAAACAGAAACAGGAGTGGAATGAATACATTAGTGTTCGTTACACATTAGTAGAATGGCAGAGGATATAGTACAAATAGCACGAGATAAAACACCAAATGGACGAAGAAGTATTGGCAGACCAAAAAAAGATGGTGCGACAATTTAAACAATTTAGGAGGCTAATATTGAAGAAGAAACAGGCTTAAAGCCTACATACATAAGAATTAAAATTATAAAATCAAAAGTTTTGGTTTTTCTTGTTTATTTACATGTTGGCCAACCCCAATCAAAAAAATTTATTAAGAAAAGTTTTTGAGCTTTTTATTACGAACATTTTGGTACCAAATTTGCTCGGTAGCCAACGGGTTATATGTCAAAGTGATCTTTATGTGGATTCGTCACCCGCCTATCACTTCCTTGTGAGTTTGTACTAAGAGTTTAGGTACTTGTGCCTCTTTGTCTAACTCCAATTTACTTAACTTGTTCATAATAATCTGTTAATATTAATAATATTTGTGTCTTTTTTAAAGCACTATCAAATTTCCTTTTTGGAAAATCAAATTTTTTTGGCGGTTATAAATATATCTATACTGAAGGAATTTTTAATTTACCTGGGAACATACCTACTGTAATAAATTAAAGACTTGTATATTTTGCATGTCTGCATGAGATGCATTAAAATATCCAAAACATATTCGAACCTTCAAACCTAATATAATTCGAGCTCCGTGATACCGTTTCCATAACAACTGCTTCAACACAAACAAATACCCCATTGTAAACCAAAATGTATTCCGCAAACATCATCAATGACGGCGATTTTACAAGAACCATTTACACATTGGTAAGCAGACAATTTTATAAACATTTTATAAAACATGTTTCAATCGCAACTCTGTTTTTGTTCTTTATTTTAGATTAAAGAAAATAAGTTCGTTGAAGCTATTAAAATACTGCACGGAATAACAGAGTCTAATTCGACCAGGGCAGGACTGTCCCTTCTAGCATATTGTTATTTTTATATTCAGGATTTTGTGAAGGCAGCAAATTATTATGAGAAGCTCACAAATTTATATCCCGATAATGATGATTATAAATTGTACCATGCTCAAGCTCTTTATCAAGGTAAAACATCTTTTATTATTGCAAATATTCTTTTCTTAAATTACAAAATTCATCAATATTTAAACTTTATTATAAATTGGTCATAACATCACAAAGTAGGCAATATGTGCTACATCAGCAATGACTGATAATACATGATGATTCAGTCTAATGCCTATACAACAGGTAACCTATACACATAATTATTATTTTTTTTAATGGCTCTGGATTATTGATCCATTCAGCCACGATATTATAATAAATACTGTTTGCTACAATATTAAATACTATATACACATGCTCACATATACACACTTATGCACGCACATTATAGGTATTGTTAAATTATTTTTTTTTAATGCAGATTTCAAATTCAGAAATGTTTTTTGCCTAAAGTAATAGGTTCCCTAATAAAACAAACATTTATTCCCCGATGACCATTGGTCATCTGATTGGCCAGAATATAAACCAACATTTTTTTGTTATAAATAGTAATAAAATTAACAATAATTAACAAAAAATATTATTCTAAAGTTATCAGTATTGTAAATATATCCTGAAGCGATCGTTTAAATAAGATAATTGTAAGATTACATACCTGGTATATGATCACTCGAGACACAAGAACACACAATGATAAGAGTAATTAGTATTAATCGATTTAATAAAGGAAAGAGTCATCATCAATTGATAATAATTACACTTGTAATATAAATTACATTCCAAAAATTAGAATTTAAATTTTACATATTAGCATGTCATGAGGCTATAATAGTTATATTCCAACACAAGATTATATCTATACTTCAATGCATAAATTGCGTATCCAACTAGTTCCCTCCGGGCATGTTTCCTCTCACATGTTTCAACAGTTCTTCCCTTTCCAATCTACTTTTTCCAAACCACTTCATTCTGTATTTATGGAGCCCTGAGCATCGCCCCATGAAATGCAGAATATCTCTCACCTCTGTTTCATTACACAAATCACATATTTTTCTATAATTAGCTCTATCAGGTCTATCCTTAAGATATAATACACTACATCTAATTTTAAATATCCACCTTATATAATTAAAATACACTTCATCACTCATATAATCCATATAAATGCCGAGTCCAATTAAATATCTATAATGATTGCAGAAATTTGAATCAGTTGCTCTATCCAATGCTCTTTCCCTTGTCTCCAGCACGAATGTCTCCTATCACCTGCTCCAGCTTGTCCACCCAAAAATTCCTATCTTCCCACTTAGTGTTAAATTACAATCCCGATCTCTATTTTTTCACAGTTTCTCAAAAGTTTAAAACTAATTGCTGTAGAGAATTTATCATCATCATCCACGGCGCTACAAGCTATATAGTTTTGTTCCTCAAATTGATCTGAATTGCTTTCAAATTCTCATCTACGTCCTGAAGCCATCGCTTGGTTCGTCTCTATTTTCTTTATTAGTCCCTTCCATTTTATTGTACAAAATTGTACTATGAAGCCTCTCCAGAAATTTTGTTTTAAGTGTCCAAGCCACTCCAGTCTTCTCGTCTTTACAAACACAGCTTTGTCTACTCCTTCTAACAATTCTTGAAGTTCAAATTTACTTCTAGTTTTCTTCGAGATAACTTCCTGACTCAGTCTTTAAATACTTCAAAGAGAGGACTTATCTGCGATTTTCATTCTTACTTTATTGTGCTAGTCTCGTGGTGCCTTTTATTGCCATGTGAAGAGCGATCTTACAAAGGTCACCACATAAAATCCCCTTTACCGCACTGTAGTATTTGTCAAAAAAACGGGGTAATCGTTTTTCCTCCGTCATAGTTTCTAGCATGATCTGCATCACTACCTCAAAGCTTTGTATCACGTCATATATACCAGTTCACGTACCCATCAAGCATCTTATTCTTAGCATTTTAATTTCTTCCCTATATACAGGGTTAAAAAAATATTAATTTTTGGCGGTTCTCTGAAGACAGAGAACTATCACATCAGACAGGTGCTATCTAATTATTAATCTTCTTGAAATTTGATAAATTTTGATTGATTATTGGTAAATAAATAAAATTTTATTTGTCCAGTCAATGTGAAATAAAAGTGAGCTTTAGGTGAAGTGAAAATGTTTCCAACAGGTAACGGTCCAGGATCAAATGACTATCAGTACTGTACAGTGCAGTTTCCTACTGTAATGCAGAACGAGCCTATTAACCTAATCGTATCACCAAGTAAGTTAAATAAATACTCAAGCTGCTCAACAGTACCAGCCAGTACAGCCAACAGCTGCCCAACAAACCAACTTTTCTCATTCTACGTCAAACTCTCAAGCTTAAACTTAAACTTAAAAAATAATCCAGAAATGCAGAATGAATATGATTCGATGTCAGATGAATAACATGAAGACCCACACATACAAGAATAATACACACCCATGGGGAACAATAAGATCAAAAAGAAAAAGGCTTAAACGTGAAGATTTAAGAGAAAAAGAAGCTCCAATTACACTCTCAAGTAGGTTTCAGTCACTTAGCCACACAAAAACTCCGTAAATGATCCGGAAATTAGATATAGCGTGAATGACTATACCAAAATAATAGGTAATTTAGCTTAAGCAGTAAAAGTAGAAACTTACCTTACTAAAGCCTTAAAAACACAATAAAAAATTTTACCAAAGACACCTGAATCCTACAGGAAACTGATATATCACGTACGAGAGGAAAACATCGTCCACCATACATACCAACCTAAGAGAGAGCATACAGGGCAGTTATTTCGAGACCTACATCACTCCTTTTCGATAGATGAAAAAAAAACGGAAATCCAGAAAAAGGATCATAAGGTAATAAATATTACAAATATCAGATACATATTGAGCCGTGAACCATCACCATTATTTTTTGTGGACCTAGAGACTCAAAGGAACGACAAAGAAATATTTGAACTACAGTATATACAACATTGTAAAATAAGGATAAAACCACCGAGAATTAAATGAAATATAGCACAATGTACATGATGTCAAAAATATGGGTGCATTAAAACGTACTGTGCAAAATCATATAATTGCGTAAAATGCTCTAGATCACACAATACAAAGGACTAAAATAAACCAAAAAACACTCTAGCAACTTGCACTCACTGCAACAGAGACCATACTTCTAATTATATATACTCAATGTCAGATACAATGATAAATCAAAACAAATTACCACTCAAATTCCTGTCAACAGTCCCAATGTAAATATGCCTACTAAACATCATGCTCATAATTTCAACAGAATCGGTTATAGAGATGCTGCCATTGGAAATATAAATGCAGTATAACAAAAATGAATTAGCAGATAAATTATCAAATTTCCTAAACCAATTCAAAAATATGCTCTCTAAACTTTTAAACCAAAATAGCATGCTTTTAACCATGTTACGTGGTTGTTAACTATTACGAATTGCGTCGTGAAATGCTAATGGCATTTTAAACCATATACTAAAGGTATCACTGCTTTTTAAAATAAATAATATAGACATTCTATTAATATCTAAAATAGATATCTGAGATTTGGCCCAAACAGATTTGGTAGATTTTGCTGTAACAAAACGGATTGCTCACATCCATAGTGCTATAGAGTCAAACTTCGATTTCCCACTGGACCATAGCACAATACTAATAACTTTAAGCATACACATAATATAGAGAACACCACCACCCAAAATCACAACTAAAGAAACAAACTGGGATTTTTTCCAAAATCTTGTAAAGATTCGATTAAATATTAGGATAAAAGAAAACCAAGATGTAGAGAAAGCAGCAGACTATTTAACAACAGATTTACATACAACAAGATGGGAAGCAACACCACAGCGCCAAAGAAGTGTGCAAGAAAACCATAATATCTCCTCCTATATAAGAACGAGAACTTATACAGCTACTCAAATTACCACATCATACAATCTAGCGTACCTCAGGGTAGTGTTCTAGGCCCATTTCTGTATCTGATATTTACAGCAGACATTTCAACCAGCAATGATATCTTCTTAGCTACTTTTGCCGATGACACGGGAATCTTGGCAGTGGATATCGACCCTAATGTAGCATCACAAAAAGTACAAAATAATTTAGACCAATCACAAAACAGGCTTGAGCGTCAATGCCAGCAAATCAGTACAACTTACTTTTACAACAAGAAAATCTACATGTCCACAAGTTTCTATTAATAATACTTCCATTCCCATAAAACCAGTTTGTTGAGAAAACTCACATTAAAACTAAACGGAAGCGACTAGATCTTAAACTAAAAAATATAAACTGGCTATTTAACAAAAGGTCTCAGTTATCTCTTGAAAATAAACTGCTTCTATACAAAGCAATACTCATACCAGTTTGGGCATATGAAATAGAAATAAATGGGGCTGCAGTAAATCTTCAAATACGAAGATACTTCAAACATTCTAATCCAAAATACTCCGTATGATAAGTAAAGCTCCATGGTATGTATCTAACCAAACACTTCACAATGATCTGGACATCCCACTACTTAAGAACATAATAAAGAATCATTTAATAAAATATAAAAATCGCACCACTGATCACAACAACGAACTGATAAATAAGCATTGGATTTATTGAAAACGCTAAGACAGATCGATTTTTATTCCGAACTTTAATCCTTTTTTGAAGGCCACCTCCTCATTTATTGTTTTTCTGTTCGTCAAACATTCATCATTAAATCATTTTAACAAATACAAAAATTGTATCAATAAAATGCCGAATATGTCTCACTAATTGTTTACTGTAAAATTATTTTTCAAATGTTCTGTTTGAATACAAACAATAGATTTATATTTATTTGTTTATTTTTAGCTTGCATGTACGAAGAATCTTATCAAGCTTGTAATAAACTGGCAGACTCTCCCGATTACAACGAGAGAGTTGTTAAACTGCAAGCAGCCATAAAATACAGCCAAGAGGATGTTTTATCTGCCAAAAATCTAGTCGAAGCCTCGAGTCCAAGTGACCCAGACAGAGATGTTAATTTGGGTTGTCTCTTGTATAAAGTAAGAATGGGAATTAACAATACAATATAGACAATATTAAACGGTTAACGATTTTAGCAATTATTCTTGATAAAAACTAGAATTCAAAGTTAAAATTTTTATCAAAAATAAAAAATACTCCTATAAGTAATATAAACTCAATTTAATAAACAGTTTAAGTTCAATATTTAGGTAGATTTTTATTGATATCGCGACATAATGAAAAGATTGTTCCGATTTTCTTCATTTGTCTCGGTTTCCTATTATTATTTTGCCACTTACATGACTGGAGCTCTGATTATTACAATAATGATCCTTCATGCAATTATGTCGATGTCTGTCTCCCTCTCTCTCTCTAGCCGTCAGTGCTATAAATTTTTAAGGAAAATTACGGTCCTCTTTTTTTTTCTTCTTTGAAAGACGAATATTCCACAGGGGCGTCACCACAGCAAACTGCAAAGTTTTGGTCATTGAAAATTAGATCTGCATCAACATTTCTAGCTTTCGTGTTTGTATTAGTCGGTATGAATTTGGTTTGATTTTGATTTATATGTAACCCCATTCGTTCTGCTGCTGCTACTAGCTCGATTACGATTTCCGTGGTTTTTATTAAATATAGTTCTCCTGCCATCTAAATTAACGTTTTGAACGGCTTCTTCTAAGGCTATTTTAAAAAGTTGACTCGCCAGCACTTCTCCCTGCCTTAACTCCCTATGTATTTTAAAAAGGGTTGACGATCCGTTCTGAGACTTGTACACCCCTTGAAATTACGTTCGGGTGTAATAATTCACTGGAGCGAAGTGTATTAATTTCTGTAAACAGAAATCACTCCACCGCGCTCCAATGCTGCAGACTATCCCTTTCCCTCCTACAGCACTCTGATGTGCTATAATGCCTATCAGCCAAATACTCTTCATGCGGGAGTCCTGGATAATAGAACTGCAACATGGTTCCCTAACTGATTCAAATTCAGTTATCGTTAAGCGCTTTATTCTTGTTATCCTCTAGTGCAGCGGTGCCCAAACAGTCGATCGCGACAGCTTCCGGAGTCGATGCAAAAGATTCAGACCCTGATCGAAATATTCCATGCTTCTAAGGAAGTGTGACTGCGCGACGTTTGGCAAATGTTACCGATTGTTCTCGAGTTTGTGTTTCTTGTATAACAAGCTGCGGTGACAGAGCATTATTATGTCAGTCTTTATTAAATTATGACAAGTAGAAGTTGAAGAAGTAAAATGGCAATATTTAAAACACCAAATGAGTACGACAAATATCTCACATCAGGCTTACGGTTAGCACTCAGTAATTACGCAACGTTTTACAAAACAATTATAAAGTGTTTTCAGAAATCTACATATTTTAGTATCTAGGCTCCAGTCTAGTTGTAGTAGTCGGTAGTCGATCGCTTGTCTTTAAAATATTTTGTGATAGATCGCAGACACTACAAGTCTGAGCACCCCTGCTCTAGTGACTTGTCTGCGAACCTGAAATTGCCCGCTTGGGCCTCAAGCCTCGGCTCAGAGTTGCGCCTAGTTCGGAGACTTGCTGCTCAAGGAGTTGGGCCCTACATGATCGGGTTTTTTAGGTTTTGTAAATTTTTTTGATGGCTTGCGCCAGATTTTTGTTAGTATTTTTTTATGTCTTTTGTAAATTTTTGTGGTAGGATGTCCTGAAAATAAAATCCTAATTAATGGGCCCTACACCGATTTATCGTTTCGTTTCGTTGGAAACGAGTGGATAAGAGAGAAAACAAAAGTGAGGGATGTTAGACAAGAAGTTGCAAAATTGAAATGGAGATTTGCCGGACACAATATAAGACAAAAAGAAGACCGATGGAACAAAATTCTTATAAGTTGGAGACCGTGGGAATATAAACGAAACAGAGGAAGGTCCCAAATGAGATGGGCAGATGATATCAAGAAGCACGTGGGCTCTAGATGGATGACTGTTGCGACAGACAGAGAAGAATGGAAAAGGATTGGGGAGGCCTATGTCCAAAGATGGACCGAAGAAGGCTAATTAGATAGATAGACACCGATTTATTGCGCCTGTCTATGTTGATAGAGCTACGAACTATCCACTTTTTGTTTATTTCGTTTACTTTCTCTCTGGGGTTTGTTTTTATTCTCTCTAGGGTTAATTTTACTATCCGAGTATATTTTTATTTTATTCTCTCTCTGGAGTTTATTTGTCTTCACTCTAGGGTTTATTTTTATTTTACTATCTCTCCAGATCCCTTTTATTTTATTTAATTATTTGTTGTTTTGAAGGTTTGTGTTTCCATCAATGGAATGCGTCGTATTTCATTATCTCTCGCAATATGGGACTTCGGTGATTCTGCAATTCAGCGATTCTTTCATTATTTCAGTCACCCTGACTTGTTGCAGTTCTCTGTGTACAAAAAGGGTGTACATATGTGGAAATTATTAATATAATTTCCGTGTATGTGGACTGTATTATATAGGGCTGGTTCAATAAAATTAGGATATGTAATAAAAGGTATACAGACAATAGCAAATTAAGTTTATAGAAAGTCTTACCAATATTTTTCTGCTACACACTCTCACGGTTGTTTCCGGTCTTCACTCATGGTTATTCTCCCGCGAAATCTGTCCGATGCACCGGTTTCTGAACACGTGTTTTGCAAATATATCACGATATAGAGCACACTTTGTCTGCACACGATTTAATACAGTATTTTCGATATTTCTCGCGTAACTAAAGCGGGAAAGAGGTAATTACGATAGAAAAACAGCCAAGATAGATGCTGTTCTTCTTGATAAGCGAAGAGAGAGAGAATGAATGAGAGAGAACGTCTGGCACTAGTGATGGCCAAACTAAGAGAGTTGAGAAATGGTCTGTCCTTAACGACGGGCGACCATCAAGAGAGGTCTTTCTTCTTTGTCTCTTGAAACTGTCTGTATTTCTAATGGAGAGGGGGTAAAATGTAAGTAGGAAGGGTTATTAAGGGTTGGACTAAGGTGTTAATTGTAAAATTGTGATAAAATGATAGTTAATAATACAGCGAAAAAATAACATGATTTTTCGCATGTGAGAAAATTGAACACTCTGAATATAAAGAGTTTAGCTACGTATCTTAAGTCTGCTTCTCTTAGACTCCTTTGGTATGCCGCTTGTATCCTCTTCTTATATATATATATATATATATATATATATATATATATATATATATATATATATATATATATATTATATATATATATAAGTCGTTTATCCATTATGACTCCCAGGTATTTGGCTTTATTCTTCCATTCGATGGGGTTATTATGCACTGTCAGTTGTTGCTATGGTTGTTGATGTCTCTTTTTGAGAAGCATCGCTTGTTTTTTTTCGGCGTTCATGGCGATTTTCCATTGTAAACTTACATTCTTCGATGTTTTCCAACGGCGTTTGCAGGTTATTTACTGCATAATCTACATTTCTGTGTCTGGCTTCTTTCCCTGTATCATCGGCATAAAGGCTGAGTAAAGTTCCTGGTGTTCTTGGAATATCGGCGGTGTATCTTGTGTACAGTAGTTATGACAGGACCGCTCCCTGTGATACTTCTGAAGTCAGACAGGACTTGTCGTCATTGCTCCACTGAAAATTTTGCTTACGTCCAGGAAAGCTGCTCCTGTGCATTGTTTGTCGTTTAATCCAGCTACTATGTACTCTGTTAGTCTGAGTATTTATAGCTCGCTGAAGAGTTCTGATCGGAATCTAAATTGTGCTTCTATCTCGAATTACATCGATTCGGGAAGAGCATATATATTAGCATCCCATTGACTATATTTGTTAGAAATATTATGGCTCTAACCGGAAAGTATTTCAAAGATCTATTTATGATCTGGTCTGCTCCAGGTGCTTTTTTTGTTGAACTGTTTTTGATTAGTTCGTTTATCCCCTCTGGTGATGTTGGAGGAATCCGGTGATTTTGTTTTTTCCTCTGGCCTTTCTCTTTGTTCTTCGACTTCTTCTATGAAGTCTATATCTTCATCTAGGTGATAGTTTAGTGTATACTCTCATTAGAGAGTCGTGTTATCACCTTCAATGAAGTAGACAATTCCATTGCCGCCGTGTATTGGGCTTTTTTTTATTAATAACATACAGGTGAAGCTAAAGTGCTCAAAAAGTATCTTGACGCCCAAAAATGTTTCGTCTATTACTTTAGCCTCTCTCGGAGACCTTCAATGTTTCCATTTTTTACCTTAATCGTTGTGCACCTCCAATACTTTTAATAGGAAAGACTAAAAAACAATCAGACTAAGGAATACAGTACAAGACTAACTAAATTTTATCTTGAATAGAAAAATTTGAAAATAGATGAAGATTTATAGCAGGAAAACTCAAATCAAACTGTAAGTCTACATATTATTTAGACAAGGATACCATTTCAATAAGTTATCAACAAATTGGATACAAAATTGTGGAATTAAGATCAGATAAAGTAATTTAAAGTAAATATATTTTATTTTGTATTACAAACTTTCTGTCAGAAAATACAACCGGTCATAAAAATACGTTTTATGTGGTTTGTAAGTCTGGTGTTCCTTCTAATTACAAATACGTAGACAAGAAATAAAAACTAACAAATCTGATTGTAGCCATACATCGAATGTAAAATATATAAACTAATCGGATTTTCCAATTATTATTAGAAGTGAAATATTCTTTGACTTTTTTCCAATAAAAAGTTTGAAATATGTTTTCCATCCGATGTTCCTGTGGTTATGTCAAAACAAAACGTTATTTGTAATATACTTACCTGATGTTAGTGGAACCGGTGTTCGCAAATATTTATTTTTATGCAGTTTGTAGAACTGAACTCCATCAAACCGTAGAGATAATAAAGAAAATTATTCGGAAAAACCATGCATCAGTATAATGAGTGTCCAAAACAATTTTAGGTATATTGTCCGCCTCTTTATCCATATAGTTTTACCCAATGGTAATTGGCAACTGGTAATTGGAAAATTAAATAAAGAAATATCCAAAGCTGTTGGACAAGACACTGAAAAATA